CATCTGAAGAAGAAGATCTGCTTAGTGCAAGATATCACTTATTTGGCATGAGGCGAATGAAAGAGAGTGAAATGGGTCCATACAATCACTCAGGAAAAGTCTTAGAAATTTTGGCAGAAATAGGAAATATAGAACGGAAAGTAATCCTTGATACCGGTGCAGAAATTAATGTCATTGCAAGTCATATAGTACAGCTCAACGGATGGAAAGATCAAATTAAGAAAAATACGGAAAAATTTGTAGGAATAGGAGGCAAACCTACAGATGTGGATGGAGAAATAACGTTATCAGTACAACTTACGAACAGAACAGTGCATGAAACGTTTGTAGTAATACCAGTGAGACACATAGTAGCCATATTAGGTACCAGTTTTATGCTGAGACATGGAGTAAAAGTCTCTTATAGAAAAAACGGCCCTCAAGTCTGGTGGAGACCTAATCAGACTGGAAGACATATTGAGATACGAATTGAAAGAGAATTTCTTGTCTATTGAATTTCTCAGTAAATAATGAAACTATCAACAATATTAGTCTGCCAAAAAGAAACAAACTGGTAATGAATGGATCGATGACGATCAAGACAGTAATGAATACGATCCAAAGAGACATAAACTGTACGATTTAATCCGTTTCAAGGATGATATTGTGTAAAATCCAAACTCCAAAGGCTCATCACCTGAGGATAAGGGAATCAATATTGGTAATTGAAGCAAATCATGTGGTAATAGAAGTAATTTGTGAAAATCCTGTTCAATGATGTTATAGGATTAACTCCGATACCTGTCATCGGCCAGGGCCAGCGATTTGCTGTAAAAGAGTATAAACTAAGAATTTATTCCCTTGCCGAGAAAATATCATAAAAATTAGTTTAAAAAATTTATTTCATTACGTTAGCAAATAGAATTTGACCAGAATTAATTATTATACCGATTTTCACCCTTTATCTCTATATTTGGTATAATTACGGGGTAGTAAGAATGAAGAATTATCAATTGATAACATATCTCTTAGTGAGACGAATTTCTTGCGATAAGAAGGTAACAAAGTGGAGACGCCGGAACAATAATTATTGGAAGATTGGTGGCTGATAACAACACTGGGCAAAAGTCAGAACCGACAGCGCTGTAAAAGACGAATGACAGCGTCCGTGCAAAGTCACTATGCGATTGGAAGAATCTGAATTTGGGAAACCACTAGCGTACGAATTATATCTATATTTTGGAAACTGGCTTAAATTACGCGGAATAATATTTATGTCCTCAGAAGAATTGGGAACCCTGAAGATGACAATGATTATTCCAAATATTTATGTTGGAAGAAACTTCTACGTTCATTGAGATCCAAAACTGTCCCGGACTGATGCACCATACATCTGCTTAGGATAAGAAGAGGAATCAATCTCGGTGCTCGCAAAAAACGCACAGTGATACAGTAATGAAATCAGCGATAGAAAATCTAAATTTAATTACCGAATGTACGACAGATTATCACGACTTGCTCTCATGATCTTATACGCGTAGGGTTAAGAATATTCTTAGGAAGTAAACAGATGACGCTTTATTAAGATTATCAGGAGTACTGACGGACGTATACCTATGGGACCGAAGATACCCGCAGAAGTCAAGGCGTCTGCCTGATGCTTAGTAATCCTACTGCTATCTATTCTATGGATTTTCTTATTATGGGATTCAAAGTGGAACAAAAATAATCTCTGGAAGATATAACGCCACTTCCCTCCTTCTCCTACCTTCATCTTCAGCTAAAGCGAGAAAAGGACAACAACTAGCAACCCCAGAAGCGAAATTGGAATACTTTACTTGTTACAACCTTTAGATTGTTACCCTCTAATTACCAAGTACCACAAGTTAATGAATTTGTGAATAGTGAAACATTTGATCATTGAAACCATCCACGATAACCTAGGGAATTGATAAGACAAATACTCAAGATAGAAAAAAGCTTTCCAGTTAAATTAGATATTTAAACTAGAAATCTTTTTCTTTTAAATTAGGGGGAGATGTAAATAGCCGATTTTGCTATTTACTACGGAATTGTTTAATTGGTCAAAAATTCACTCCCATGTATTTTAGAGT